TTATTCTTTTTGATGGCTGTTTTTAATATCAAATTTTTTTTCCTGCATGGTGATTAATCGTTGCCTATATCAACAGTGAATAATAAATCATTAACTGGCAGCTTTGCAAGCATGGAAGGTGGTGACTGATCTGATTGTCCAATTCCTTGGGAATCTCAGTGCTGTATCTTGCAGCCATCCGTCTTGGGCTGCTCTTGTTCCTAAATGAAGATCTCATGCCGTCCTGCCAGTGTTGTGACATCTAAGGAGAAGAGAAACCCTACAGATGTCCGTAGTGGTGTGTAAACATTTACTTCTCACTTTGTTTTCAGCGGATTCTCCAGCCTCAAGACTCACTGTTTTAGTATTTCTAGAAAAACCTTTTTCAGCCAGACTATGGCAGGGGCAAGTTGTTCATGAGGAATAGGACTGTTTCCTAAATGGACTTTGAACCATCTAAATCCTCTTTTCCAAAGGTGGTGATGCCCTCAACTCTGAACCTTTAGAGTTGTGTGGTGAAAATTTCACTTAGGTGGGTAGGTTGTGCTAATATGGATATGGTCTTTCACCTGCTGTCTAGCTTCTAAATTTTTCCTGTTTTCTTTCTGCCTAGAGATTTCATTCTTAACCCCACCATTATTTTAAAGAAGCTTCATAAAGGAGCAGAGCTCAGTTTGTGTTCATGTCCTGTAACTAAAAGCATTGTCAATTCAGTCCAAAATCTCAATGACTGCAGTAAAATATTTGGAACAGAAATAGTAGTCATGTGAAATGGTGTGACAGTCAGGTCATATCTGAACCAATGTTTGCATTATAGGTAGCACAAACTGTAGGAAATGAACTCTATAAAGACCACAGAGGAGGTGGGCTGTGCAAGATGCAAAACCATCACTCAAGAAGCATGCTATTTGCTATTTCCCCAGGGAAAAGAAGGTTCCAAAGATGCTTTAACCAAAATATGAATGCAACTGAAGTGAGCATCCATGAGCCAGTTATGTCTACTTTTTGTTCAAAGGTTTTAGAATGGTGAAATATTATAGCTATCTTTAATGTTTAATGGACTTTTATATTCATAAGAGGCTTCATATCAAGCTTTATTTTAGAGGGCATAACAAGGATGAATGAACCAAGTGAATAGAAAGTACATCCTGGCTCACTGTAAAGAGAACCTAAGATAGATGTCTCAGATACGAGTGTGAGTAGAAATGAAGTAGATGGTGTAACTCAATTGGCTGCAAAGGATATTAATAACCTGAAAATTGTATATCATATTATATATATAGAGAGAGAGGGGAAGAGGAGTAGTATTTAAAAATTCATTTTTTTCCACAAGAAGTCATACATTTTGCCACTTGTCACATGAGAAGTTTTGGCTGTATAATAATTTTTAAAAGGTGATGTTATCAGATAAACAAGCAGCATAAATATTTTGTATAGGGCTTGAGTTTGTGATCATACTAATGCTTACCTAACATTCCAATATTATCATTGGAGACATTCAAATGAAATCGGCTGCTAATATATCAGACATGCTATTGGATATAAAGTTGACAAAGTATATTTCCTTGTCACTTAAGAGAGGCTCTGCTTAGTGTTCACTGTTTTATACCCAGCTCTTTCTTTTGCTTCTTAATTGATCACTGTTTTTGATACTTTAACACCATCATGTAAACCACAGTTATTGTAATCATATGTAACAAGTATATATATGTACATATGTGTGTATATATGTATGTATATGTATGTATGGCTCTTTTAAAAGAATCATCTAGGAATAAGTTACAGTTATAAATAAAACTGATGTTAGGCCTTTTTTTATTGTTTTTTGTAATCTATACTGTCACCATGTCATTAATGTATTAATGGAAGTATTTCTGGAGAAAGTTATATAGGCGCAGTGGATTCACACTAATCATGATTTTACAAGTTGTAATACACATGTAAGGTCATAATTCATTCCTGTGTTAACAGTTGAGGGCCTTGAAACATAAACACATAGAGAAGTTGAATGACTTACTGGGCGTGCCCTGTACATAGCAAGTGGTATTGGATAGAGTTAGGAAAGAGATGCTGTGACCTTGTTTTTAGGAAGTTTACAGCTTTAAATGATGAAAGGACACCAATACAGACATGTGTTATAAGCAAATTCACTTTAAAGACTAGAGAAAACAAACAAAATTTTGAGTCTTTACGCCGGAACATGCTCTGTGTTGAGTGATGTTCCCCATGCTTTGTTCCTTCTCCTTCTTGTTCCTACTCCTATGCTAGAAATAATCAATTCAAATGAGTAATACTGAATTAGGAATGCAATATGAACAAACTGGCAGTTATAAGAGTAAATGCTAGTGACAAATAATTAGCTTACAATCAATTAAGCATTAAAATGGGAACATTCTTAAGTTTTATAAGGAGGCATCAATATTTTTAATGAACGTTAATGCATTTAACATTTTTTCCATAATATATTAATCCATTTCACAGAACTGACTCCTTTTCTTAAAGAAAATATTAGAAAACAATCATCTTTAAACATATGGATACTATTGAGGACATAATTATTGAGAATGAAGTCACAAATTAGTTCAATTTCTTCATGTCATGTTAAAGAAAGAAAAAGTATCAAAGGACTAAACTTGTCATTTAAAAAATAACTATCTCATCATTGGAAAAGTTTAAGCTTGTTGAATAATAAGGTTGACAGTCATTCATGAAAAGAGAATATAAGCTTTGAATTTCAGTGTTATGTTTATAGATGATTTTCTAAGAAGATATGTGGAAGCTATTATTCAGTGCAGGAAACTGGAAGGTATAATATGGTGGAATAAAGATCACATTTTTCTCTTTGAGGTGATTTATATTTAAATGAGTTCTCTATAATCCTTTAAACTGAAGTGCAAATTGGTTACCAAAGTCCTTTGCTGTAAGGGTTGTTTTACATAATAATGAATTTCACAGAAGTTCCTCAAAGGGAAATATTGATTTAGGCAACATCGCAGGATATTTTGGTTACAGCAATACTTCAGATTAGTGCCTTAGACAGCACATAAAAACTTTCTAAGTTTAAATTTCTTTATTAAGAAGTATAGTGTTACTTTTTTAGTAGAAAATGCATTCATGACCGAATTTTTAATAGAAAGGATTCTCCTTTATCACTTCTCATCCACATTAACTTAGCAATGTTAGGGAGAATTGACTGTGCAGCAGACACATGACTTTTGTTTCCAAAAAAGGAGGTTAATAAAGGTAGTGGGAAATATTCATTTATCTGTGTCCGTGTATATTGTCACTAATATTTGATAGCTTCAGTTATTAAGAACATAACTTTGTGATAGTTACTATAACTTACATATGACTTCTTGTGATGTGAGAATGCCACCACTAGTTCTTATGTGATAGTGAGATAGCGGAGGGTACAAGGTGTGTGAGATTGGACCACAGTGTGTTCCTCTGATCCAGCTTGCTATGCCAGCACCTCCCACCCGGCTTCTTTTTGTTCTTGAGCTCTGTGGGGATCATCACCAGAATGGGACTTGCAGTTCTAACTGCATAGCTGAAGGTCAACACACAGGTCCCTGACTGTGGTAGCACAGAGTCCTAGAGCCTAGCTGTGTCTCATCTGTAAGGAGTTAGCTGGATTGTCTCATTCCAGTGAAATCCTGGGACCAGATCCTCGGGATAACTTAAGAGTGAGGCTATAAACTGGAAAGGATATTGAATTCAGTCACAAGACCAGGTCTGTCACTAACCATGTGTGTGGATTCAGAAAAAAAAAAAAAAACAAAAAGCAGTTTTTCTCCTTGAGCTTCTTAGTATTTCCATCTGCAAAATGAGGTTCGATTTACTGGTGACTTTCAAAAATATGTTATACATTTCCAGTAAATTAAGTCTTACATTGAACCCCAGTACTTGTAACAGATGTAGATGCAGCTGTGCTGGTTGGGGTAAGGGCCGGGTTTGTAGAAAACTTGAGTTTATTATTTACCTGCTGTATCTCCTCCTAACACCAACTCATTTCCATGAAGGCCTGTGGGACATCTAACGCCTACAGAGCAAAATTTCCAAGTTGTGGACTGGTTCTGAATTTGTCTCATGTCTCACTTTATATGATTAAAAAAAAATACCTGCAGCCACATAATAAAGGGCATTAAAACATATTAAAATGGTGAGAAGCCATTATATTCTAAAGGATATAATTAAAACAACTTGGTCCATGGGTGGCCACAGAAGTATGCTGTTAGTGTTAAGATCCTGAAATTGAATACTGAAGCTTCAGTAAACGCTGAACTTGGGCACTGCAGTAATGATTTTTGAAGCTTCTAAAATTATGCTAACATTAATGTAGCAAATATGAATATCACTTTAGCTTTGGGTTAACATTTTTACTCATTAATTTTGTTTCCCTTTCCTAAATTTATTATATTTCAAGTCAGAGTTACAGAGAAAAGGAGAAGCAGAGAGGTATTCCATCTACTGTTTCACTCCAGAGATGGCCCCATTAACTAGGACTGGGCCAGGCTCATACCAGGAGCCAGGAGCCTCCTCTGGGTCTGTAACATGGGTATCAGGGGCCCGAGCACTTGCAGCATGTTCTGTTACTTTTCTCAGACTATTACCAGAAAGGTGTATAGGCAATGGAGCAGCTGGGACTTGAACCAGGAACCAAATGGGATGTTGGCACTGCCGGCGGATGCTTTACGTGCTACAACACAAATTCAGCCCCTGGTTTTACTTGATATTCAGATATAAACTTTCAAATGTGATTCAACTATTTCAGATGATGTTGCCAAAACACATTTCTTTTTTTTTTTAAAAAAAATATGACTGTTAAAACAATTAGTTGATATTCTCTAAAAGTGACCATATTTCATCACTGCAATCTCTTGGTCTAAGGAGTCTGTCTTCATATCTGTATTCCACTCCGGGAAAGAGTCTGCCAGGGTCTTCCCAGCCCTGAATGATGGTTGATGGTGGTACACTGGTTTAACTGCAGCCTGTCTCTGGCACAGATTCTTTTCACTTACCTGCCTCTGCCTTCTGCTGCTTTTCAATCTTCTCCAGGCGCCCTAGCAACGAGTCAATTTTAGTTTTGATCTGGGTTAGTTCTTTCTTGATTGTCTGTAACTCATCCGATTTCACTGGAAGGAAGGAAGTGGAAAGAAAACAACAGAATATCCAATGCATCATGACTCGCTGATTACACAACCCACAGAGACCCCATGCCACCTTAAGACTGTCAAATTACTCAGGAGACTGCTCAGTTTTAGCAGCTTCTTATTACTTTTAGTGATCCTGGAATACTGGGTCACTCACTTTGCCCATTCATGTAAGTGGGTCTCAGTTATATGAAAGTTGGTACCACATCTTCTCTTAAAAATATTTATGTATTGGAAATACAAAGTGACTGAGACGGAGGCAGAGGGGAAAAGGGGAGAGAAAAAGGGATCTTCCAGTTTCTGGCTAATTCCCCAGTGCTAGCAGCAGCCAAGACTGGGCCATACTGAAACCAGGAGCCTGAAATGCCATTTGGGTCTCCCACATGGGTGGCAGGGACCCAGGTAACTGGGTCATCATCAGCTACCTTCTCTGGACATTAGCAGGAAGGTGGGTTGGAAACTTAACAAGCAACACTTGAATGGGCACACGAACGTGAAATGGCGGTGCTACTCCAGGCAATAGCTTGCTGCACTGAGATACAGCATTGTTCCTGATAATTCTTTTTTTTGGTACTGCAGGATATGTGAAATACTTTATTTTATAATGTAAGTAAATGTCTATGCAAAGCAGAATGCAGACACCCCGTGGTTAAAAACCTGTCGCATATTAATTATTTTGTATAACAAATGGACACTTTTCAACGGAACTGTGGTCTTTAGATCTGTTGAATGTTGTGGTCTATGGTGATTTAAGCCTTTGATTACAAAGTGGACTAAAATTAAGCTTTTGCAAAATTTAGAAAGAAGAAAAGAGGGAAGGAGGGAGAGTGAGGAATATTGGAATGGCAGATTATCTTCTGAGAACTGTACTTATGAAATACGTGAAATCTGTTCTAATATTAATAAAGATTTTAAAATTGGCTCTTGATTATTTTATGTCTACCTATGTCTCTATGTATCTATCTATCATCCATATCCCTGCATCTCTGATGCTTTGCCTCTTGAGTAAATAAAATAAGCAAACCTATTCTTAAACAAGCTTAAGAAAAAAATAGAAACATATATAAAGGATATTTCTTCCATGAAATAGGCTTATATTTACAAAAATTTCACTGTTCTTATTTTACTTTTCTTAGAACTATTTTCTTGAATCTATAATCCCCAGAGATTGAAACTATTTCTCAAACAGACCAGCAACACCTGTTTCTGAATTTTTGTAAAGTAACTTTTTAGACTTCCATGTTTTCTTTCAGGCTTCCATGAAGCCATGCCTCAAATCTGGGGCACACACAAGAATCTTTTAAAAATATCATGAAAAATTAGACTGCTTTAAATGCAGACCTGTTTGAGATCCCTGAATAGCCTTTCATAGCGTGTATTTTATATGAACTTTTAAAATTTTATTTTATTTCGTTAAATTTTTATTTTGAGTTTTTGAATTTTGTGGTGCAATTTTGTACAGACTGGGATTCCCTCCCGCAAAGACTTCTCTCATGGGCCCAAGTTTACATTTCTGTACCCAAATAAACATTCTTTCATTGTTTTCACAAAGTTTTAAAATAAATCTGCATCTCCACCTTGTTTCCCTGTTGTTGTTCCTTCAAGTTTGTAATGATTTAATATTATATACTTTCCAGAAATATCCAAAGAAATTAACATTCAGGTTAATTCTTTAAGTCTTTTGGATTTTTTGAAAAAATAATAAGAGAAAGTGTAATTTGTTTGCTTGAAAGGGAGATACTTATCAACTAAGAAATGTATATGACAAATTATCATTATGCATATTAACTTTCAAAGTAAGAACAAAACTTTTCTCATTATTAAAATAAGAAAATGGAGACTGATGCAATAGCTCAAGTCGCTTATCAACATTGGATCCCATATGGGTGTCAGCTGATGTCCCAGCTACTCCTCTTCCCATCCAACTCCCTGTTTGTGGCCTGGGAAAGCGCTGGATGATGTCCCAAAACTTTGGAACTCCACACACAGGTGGGAGACACTGAAGAGCTTCCTGGTTCCTAGCTTCAGATTAACTTAGCTCCAACCATTGAGGCCATTTGGTGAGTGGGCCAGCAGATAGAAGACAGTAAAATCAGAGTTTTTTAATATATTGTTTTTTTAAGAGGGAGGCAATATTGTTTGGAAAACAAGAATTTCAGGAGTAAGGGCCCTCTGAGGAATTAAACTGAAAGTAGAATACAGTATAAAACAGAAAATTACTCTTATTGCAATGCTTTCAAAGACATCAAAGAACCGTTGTTGAGTTGCTGTTAAATTTGAAAAACATCATTCGTCACAGTTGCAAATTGATTTTGCTTTGAAGAATGATAGCCATTCCTTTTGATAGAAGCATATTATGTAGATTTAGTTAAACCTATCAAATTTAATGGGAAATTGCTTATTTTATAATCTTAGATTGCAATGAAGGAGAGAAAGAGAAGTATGGCTGGAAACTAAAGAACGTTAGTGAGTGGAAATCCTCTTTTTTTCTAGGACTGCAGGTAATTACCAATAATTTATTTTTTGCTTCAATAATTAAATCTATAAGCCATCAATTTTATCAAATATTAGAAATTACATTAAGGAAGAGCTATAATTCTGGACTCAGACTTATAAACATCTAAGAAGTCAGTTTCCATTTTGTTTGGTCTCATGTCCAACTTTGCGGACATGCGCTTTAACAAGCACAAGTATATTAAAATAAAATATATTATACTTGGCTAATGCTAATCTACATTAGATACAATAAAATGTTAAGAACTTCTTAGTTCTTTTATGGCCATAACTAAAAATATTATAATGAGCTGAAGACTTGTGCAGGTGGCTGCAGCTCTTCTGTCTGGCCTGAGGAGCAGCGAATGCTCTCCATCTTCTGAAAAGTAGCCCTTAAAACAGTGCTGGTTGGTAGGCATTCCCACAACACTTTAGTAGTTTCATGCCATCCTCAGAAGGCCTGCCCCTTAAAAGGTTTAGTTGACCAGAATCACCTTTCCAGTTTTCTTCTGTCCATCTGAGATTCTATCTATTATTGCAGACAGAGTCTTATCTTGTACTGTTACACCTTGTTCCTAGGTTGGATTCTTAAAGCTGTAGGTATTTACAGTTAACATTTAAAAATTTTATTAAAATCTTAAGCTTTTGCAAGTTTGGTTTCTAATATTTTATCAAGGAAGTAGAATTTTGCAACAAGGAGACTCTATTGGGATTGTTGACTGCCTTCTGTTTGCTTGGCCTTTAGCACAGTCTCCTCGAAGTATTATTTCCAAGTTCATAAGGCTTCTGTGTTAAAGACATACAGAATGTTCCCTTTTTCTGTTAAGACCATACAAACACAAATTACCCCAAACCAAAATATTTAAATTGTTCAAAATCTTCTTGAAGTAAACCTAGTGTGTGCATTCATTCTCTTTAAGTGAATGCAACGACTCAGTACTTAGTTAATGACATATGGAACCACTTAGCCCTGTCACTAACACATGCACAGTTGCATTTCTTTCCCAAGAGATCTTTTCTTTTTCTTTATTTTTAACATTTTTACAATGGGGTACTTTCATTTCACTTTGCAAACACAGGCCTAGATTTTTATTACAACACAAAGCAAGTACAAAAAACAAACAAACAACAACAACAACAAAACAAAAACACTTGCCATTCTTCAGGAATATAAATAAAGACAAATCTCAAAATATAATCTTGCTCATGAACTCTGAGTATTGGTTACCACAGATAAGTGAAAACCAATGATAATTGTCTTTTGGGGAATAGCTTTTTCCAGTAAGCACAGTGTGGGCATGGACAATGACAGAGAGTGCAGAATTCTATTGTAAAGATATAGTAAACAGTTTCATTGTAAGTCCATCTGCATCTCAAAGTAGAGATGCACACTACATTGTATTCTCACATCTGGAAAGGATAGTCTCATTACACCGTTATTATACATCCCCTTAAATCAAAGACCAGAATTCATAATCAAGAGCAGGAAGAAGGAAAAAGAAATTAACAACACCATGAAGTTAAATAACATGTGTTGCTGAAAAAGTGAAAAGAAAATCAAGTACCTTCTTGAAGAAAATGATGCTACTCTATGATCTATGAGTCATTGAAGAATTTAATCAGAGCAAAGTGTTTTGAAGAGATGAAACTAACAAACAAATATCAGAATTCATGAAATATAGTTGCCACTGACCTTTTTGGGTGGGATATGTCTCCAGTAAGCAACAAATAGATGGATTTTATTTTTAATCCAGTCTCCTAATCTATGACATTTTTTGATGAGTTTGTCATTTTTATTCACAGTTAATACAAATAAGTGGTAATTTGGTTCTGTCATTTTAGCAATGGGTTGTTTGTTGTTTGATTTAGTCTTCTGTTGTTATTTTATTGGGATGTTCTTCGCATTTGCCTTTGGTTTTGGTGGGCGCTATTTTTTTTCACTGTCAAGAGAACATCTTGGGCCTGGCATGGCCTAGCTGCTAACGTCCTCGCCTTGAACGCGCCAGGATCACATATGGGTGCCGGTTCTAATCCCGGCAGCTCCACTTCCCATCCAGCTCCCTTGTGGCCTGGGAAAGCAGTTGAGGACGGCCCAAAGCCTTGTGACCCTACACCCGTGTGGGATACCCAGAAGAAGTTCCTGGATCCTGGCTTTGGATTGGCATAGCATTGGCCATTGCGCTCACTTGGGGAGTGAATCATCGGACAGAAGATCTTCCTCTCTGTCTCTCCTCCTCTCTGTATATCTGACTTTCCAATAAATGAAAAAAATCTTAAAAAAAAAAAAGAGAATATCTTTAAGTATCATTTGTAAGTCAGGTTTGGAAGAGACAATCTTAACTTTACTGTGGAAGGATTTCATTTCATTTTAAAAGACAAAGAAAAGTTTTGCTGAGTACATTATCCTAGGTCGACTTTTTTTTTTTTTTTTAATCTGGAATATGTTGCTCCATTCTCTTCTTGCTTGTAGAGTTTCCTGTGACAGGTCTCCTGTGAATTTAATTGTCATTCCTTGATTTTTTTTACGTGAACATTTCAGGATGTTTTCCTTCTGTTTGATTAAAGAGAGCTTGATTATCATTAGTTTTGGTCAACATTGTTAGGAGTTCTGTGCCCCTCCTGGATGATGTTTCCCAATTCTTTCTCTAAACTAGGGAAATTTTCCATCATTATTTCATTAAGTACGTTTGTAAACCCAGATTCTCTCTCTGCACCTTCTGGGACTCCCATAACTCTTATATTTGGCCTTCTTTTTTTTAAGATTTATTTATTTTTTATTGCAAAGTCAGATATATACAGAGAGGAGTTGGTCAACTTACGTGGCTTTCATAATTACTCATCCCTTCTCTGCCACAATGCCTCTTTCTTGTCCCCAAAACACCTTAACATGGTCCCATTTCCGGCCCTTGTGTATACTGTTGCTTGATTTCATATACTCTCCCATTGCATACCTCCCAAATATCCCTTACAGCTTTCTTCCTCTTCTTGTTGAGCATTTGTTCTATATTCATTACTCCTAGAGTTCCTTGACACCTCATAGAAAACTCTATGTCTTTCTCCCAAGCCAGGCCTTTTCCAACTGAGTGTTTACATCTTTTTTAAATACAGCATAGATATTTGGTTATACTGTTCTTTTATCTCTGGATGACAGTCACGTAAATACAGGAAATTTTGTCTGTCTTGGTCAGTATATCATCAGTTCCTGGAAGGGAACTTGGCATGCATGTTAGATACTTGAGGTAAAAAGGGCAAGAGTAATTTATAATCTAATAGGGAGATATTTCTGGAATTCTAACTAGGCATATCATCTGAAAGAAGTCTGAGTATGAAGATATTTGTTGAATAGAATAACCAATATGATGAAATAGGATAAGGAGACATTTAAACAGATGGAGAAATATTAGCCAGTTTGAAGCAGAGAGGACACATTCCAAAAAATAGGAGAGCACAGATCAACAGCAGAAGGGTACCTGGAGACTGACAAACACAGGAAAGCAGTGGACACAATGGTGTGGGGTTGCAGTGACTGATACCCCAGTGGCACTCAGCAAACAGTGATCTAAATTCCACCAGCAGCCAGAAATCCACCAGCAACCAGATGGGAAGGGTCATTTACTGAGAGCCCCAGAAGTGAACCCAGACTAAGAACTGCCAATCTTACTGGTCTGTTTCATTTTACCAGGAGCAGAGACAGAGCAGCAGGTCCCAGATGGGTGGTGTAGGAATTGGGTGAATTTCATAGCCCAGTCAGCCCCCTAGAGCCAAATTAGGCACCATTTTGTTTAAGAAGGCTTGAGTTATGGGCAATACTGCACATGCACTGAGCTGGGAGTGAACTCATTTCTGGCTCATGAACTGCAATAACGTGTCATCCTACAAATTCCACCCAAGACAGGTCCAAGTAGCCCTCAGACCTGATGGTCAGCAGATCAAGAACTCTAGTAGTACATCAGGCATCATTTCTTACAGTGTGGCACAGAATTTAAGATTGTAGGAGACAACAGTGAGCTGCACATGCACTGAGTTCAGCAAGAATTCACTGAGCTCAATGCATTGCACTGATCCCACAGGAAAATAATACCATACAGAGCACAGATCAACAGCAGAAGGGTATCTGGAGACTGACAGACACAGGAAAGCAGTGGACACAACGGTGTGGGCTTTTCCTTTCTTTCCGATGATACTGCCAACTTCCTTGCCATAAATGCATAGCCGAATAGTGTGAGTGACGTTTAAACCACCTTCAATCACACCGGTGTCCATGTCAAACAGTGTTCTTGGGAGCTGGGCATGAAGTGGTCAAATGTTTGGTCACTGGTGGGGGTAAAGGCCAAATTGCAGGCAGGAGGCGAGACTGAGCAGGGAAAAACAGTGGAGTGGGCAGGAGACCGGGCTGAGGGGTGGGAGGCAGAACAATAGGGGCAGGCTGGAAGGTGAAAGGGGCTGTGAGGGCAGGTAGAGGAGGCAGGGTGGAGGAGGGGGAGGAAGGGAGACAGAGACTCTGGGGCAGGTGAGGGTGGCGGAAGGCAGCTGCCTCTGCTGGGCTGGGGTCTTTTATACTTTTTTCTCTAGATAAATTCTACAACAAACAACACTGCTAAAAATATGGAAGAAGCAAGTTATGATAAAAGCTATTAGTTATTGTGTTGAATAAGGCTTAGTTTTCTGTGAATGTCTATGGTGCTTCAATATAGAATTATTAAGTAAGATCAATATCATAAAGTTTAAAAACACAGGGTGTCTAGGATAAATTAGCTTGTTTTTGGACAAGAACAAAGCTAGAGAAATTGGGAGTCAGGTTGCATCATATGGATAATATCAAACTTTTTTCTGAACCATGACTGTAAGGTTTTTGTATAAAAAGTTATATTAAATCATTTTAAACCTGCTCACTCTCAGGAGTGCATTGATTTGGTGATAAATATTATTACATTTTGATAGAGCCAACAAAATGGTAGGACCTTTATCTGACACACGAGGCACAATCCAAAAAGGAAATTAAACACATGGATAATACCATCTACTGATACAAAAAATGTAGGCTTTTTTGATTTATGTTGCAAAACATATTTCAATTTATTTTATCACCTCTAGGTCAAGTCTATTCAGGGACAAATAAAGAACATTCAATTAACTGTCTAGATCAGTGGTTCCTGACAAGTAGTGATTATGCTCTGCGGGGGGGGTCACTGTGCAATATTTTGAAGTTGTTTGTTTGCTATATCTTGGAGGGGGTTGCTGCTACTGGCATTTGGTGGGCATTTGTTCTACTGAACATTTATAATGCACTGGGTAGAACTCAACACCAAACAATTCCATGAAGCTGTTCTTAAAAGCATCAGAAAAGTACCTAATGATGATCTAGTTTTTTCAAGATAATTCAGAATATATTTTAAAATGGCTCACATTAATTTATTTTCTTTTTGTGGTTCTGCTATTCAGCCAAATTGAGCTGCATTAAAGTCCTGTGAAAAGTTACAAATTATACACATTATAACATTACTTTCCTCTTCTGAATTTGTCGAATCATTTAAAAATAATAGTGAATGGCCTTTACTAAAAGAAAAAGACATGTGCTTGAGTAAATATTTATCCAGATTTTACCAGTATATTTTATATTTCACTCACATTTTACACTTGTGATTTGAGTTTGGAATCTGCTATTCCCAGAAGCCTAGCTGATTTTAAATATATTGCCAAGCATGAATATTTATATGTAAATATTTTAGATGAATAATAAAGTCTGCCAGTAGGTTCCTGGAGAGGATGTGCAGTCACAACTTCAGTTACTGCCAGTGAACTATATATAAATCTTAGTTACATTTATGTTTCATGAAATAAACTAACATGGAATTGATTTTTGGAAATTGAGCTCTAACTATGTAGTAGTGCATGAAATACGCTACCTAAAATAGACTTAATTAAAATGAATATTTATCTTTCTAAATACATGGTACATTTCAAATATTATTTATTATATTAATTATCTTCATTGGAAAGGCAGACTTTTAGAGAGAAGGAGAGACAAAGAGTAAAACCTTCCATCTGCTGGCTCACTTCCCAAATGGTCACAATGGCCAGAGCTGAGCTGATCTGAATCTAGGAGCCAGGAGCCTCTTCCAGGTTTCTCACATGAGAGCAGGGTCTCCATGACTCTCCTATGCCAGAAACAGGGAACTGGATGAAGATGGAGCATTGGAACACGAACTAGCACCTATATGTGATGCCAGCTCTCAGAGGTGGAGGATTAGCCAATTAAGTCATTGCACTAGGCCTATTTCAATTATCCTAATCCTCAAATATTAAAAATGGCATTAATTTCACAGGTTTTTCTGAAGAAGCAGTATATTCACTCTTTTTATTGTGATGAAATTGATTGAAATTGTTTTCTCATTTAAAGCAACATGTTTTACTTCAGAACTTCAATATATTTTCATCTACATGGACCAAGAACACAAAAGTAGTTGCTGAGGTAAAATAACTTAGTAGATTGGTCTTCGGCTTTATTCATCAAGCCTGTGCTGTTCTCCTCTAATGTAATGTAGTTCAGTGGAAAAACAGAGATGAGTTTTGGGTCCATTTTATGTTTCTGTAATATGTGAGGTGCATCATTTTCTGTTCATTGATTAAACAGGCATTTACACAGCTATTGCTCTCTCCATCCTTCCTTAAAGGATATTGACGCAAAGAACATCACTTACATTTAGAGCCTGAGGAAGACCCGCTCACAGATCTTGAACCTCCTTTCATGGAAAAGACTCCTTTGCCCCTGCGAGTTGAGGTGACAGCCACTCTGGGACGCTTCAGGGGGATGACTGCACGGGGAGGGGGAGGCACGCGTCCATGGTAATCAAACAGCCTTCATAAAACACAAAAGACACGGAGACTTACTTTGATACGAATTGTTTTTTATCAGATGAGTTTAATGAGCAAGAGAACGAAAAAGTAGATTACTATAAATGTTTTTTTTTTTTGTCGCTGTTCTCAATTATTTAGATAATACATTTATTGAAAAATTCATTTTCTTAAAATTCGTTTGTGGAAAGGGAACAAACTTCGTGTTTGTCCAAGATTGCAATTTACAAATCTTCATGATACTTCCCACCCTGCCATCACTCCTTTCATTTCCATTCTTCTTCCTTTTCTTTCATGTTTTACAACAGCATATTTTTCAGTTTTCTTTATAATCCCAATGTTAAAGTTCCATCAAATACAGAATTCAGTAAGTAGTGAGTGGAAAAACCACGAATCTTCAAGAATATAGATTGGAGCTATAAATAAAAATCAAATCTCAAAGTTCAATATGCATTATTAGAATATGATTCCCCAAGATGAACTCATTGGTAGCGCATAAAAGGCCAAAGGTCCAGTAGTGGCATGAAAACTGATGAAACTGGGCTCAACTTTTCTATCAAATCCTTTATCCTTCTTATGGAAAGAAATATTTGCTCTTGCACATCTTAAATTTATTACCACCTTAACTTTAGAAAGAGGAAAAGATCAGGCAAAATCAGCAGCAAAGAAAAATAAATAGTCATCCAATCATAAAACAAAGAAAACCCCAGTAGAAATGAGAGAAAAATCAGTTAACTATAAAGTAAGCTGAAATTAAGTCGTTGCAAAAATCAAAAGTAAAAAGAGAGGAAAAAGGAAGGCGGGGTATGTGAAAAACATAAATCTGCCATATTTAAATAAATAAGTAAGTAATAACAAACTATGAAAGATAAATTAATATGGTGCCTCCCTTTTTTCTAAGTGATTTTCAGGTAATCAAAGTCTCCCAGGAATGCATGGCATGGAACCTGGATGAGGATAAAACTTGGTTTATTAAAGTTCTGCTCTGACATATTTGTGTCAGGATGTATTTTAACATTCTGTGCACTTGCTGGATATCTAACTTATGATGAACATATTTATGGAGTTAGCTAGAAAAAAGTCCTCTAACAAGAAAATATCAATCAAATTCCTATGAAGTAAAAAATGAAGCTCAACATAAACAATGTATTTTCATTACACAATGAAAGAAATAACCTCTACCAGTGTTAGTGCATTTGTATGAGTAGATAAGTCATAGTTTTGCAAGTTTCACATTATTTATCTCTGATACTCATACACAGCAGCGATTTTTTTGACAGCACATTTGTGACACACATTTGGGAAAAATAATTGGGTAATGTGCTCACGTATTTCAAATACTATTTGCCACTGAACAAATTCGTAATTATCCACAATAAAGAAAAATCACAATATTGCCTTAGAATTATAATTGCTACACATTTTATTGTAACAGTTTTACCTCAATCATAGTCTTATAATTGCTTTTAAAACAGTCAAAAAATTCAACATGAAAGTTAGAAATGAGTAAACTATTTCAAGAAGAAAATTATTTTTAAAAATCTATAATAAAATTTTCCAATAAAATCACATCTTGCTTACACATAAGATGAAAATGCAATCAATTCTTTTTAGAAAACAATATACAAAACATCATGCATATGGGACAGACCTGTATGTAAATATTTATCCAAGGACCTTTGAGATGATCCCAATATAGGAAAAAAGTGATATTTAAACCAAATTTGCAAAAGAACTCTGTCATAATAGGAATATCTCTCACACTGAATAGTTGAAACGTTCAAAAGAGATTTAGAAATATGTTAGTGGGGAAAACAAAAGATGTCTGGAAAGGAGAAGAAATGAAATGAAACAGAGTTCAAAAGAGGTTTCATCTTTCACCCATAAGCAAGGTCCGTTAGAGGTAAAGAGTTGCAAGGATAAAACAGGTGGTGTCAGCACTTTGTAGTTTATTTCAAATAGTATAGCAGAAGGTTCCGGAAATGGTCATGAATACCATCCTCACTACCAGGGACTTGAAAATCGAAAGGGTCAGCTAAACCTGCCCCTCATTTCAATCACAAAACAAGGTTTACATAAGTTGAATTCAAAGAGCACCTGGAGTCAGTGAGCCAAAATATGACTACAACTTCTGAGAGCTACCGTGCCCCAAAGCTTCCACGGAAATAAAATATGGCGATTGACTATCTCCCAGTGAAGAAGCTGCTGCTTGAGATGAAAGGCAAGTATTTTTAGCAGAAGCATTTCCTCAGGTTCTGGGTGTTCAGTATAACAGGCTCATTAAGTAAACTAATATCCCAGTTGGCTTAAAAATATTTGATCTGATTGTAATATCTAATGGCAAATATTTACAATTAGATTGTTAGTGTACAAATTTAGATCCATTAACCAGTTTATTCATCACAGTGCTTTTCCCACTGGAAAAAAAAAGTCTGTATTTAAATTCCTAATATCTACTACACATGTCTTGACTTCATTTTAAAGATGAGTAAGTAGAAAAAACTGCCTGAACTTGGATCGCCTACCTTCTAGCAAATATTTCCAAATTACTGTTAGTTAATTACTTATCTAATTAAAAGGTAGAATTAGAGAGGGACAAAGAGAGATATTGTCATTCACTGGTTCACTCTCCCAAATGACTCTAATGACTGGAATTGAGTCCGGCTGCCAGGCTGAGGCCAGGACCAGGAGCTTAGGGTCTCCCACATTGGGGGAAAGGAACTTGGACCATCTGTTGCTGCTTTTCCAAGTCCATTAACAGGGAGCTGGCTAAGAAGTGGAACAGTAGGGACACGAACTAGTAATCATATGGGAAACCAATCTTGCAGGCAGTGGATTTACCTACTATACTGCAATGCTGACCCTAACAATTCTGCAGTTATAAAAGTTTTAAATTTATAAGGAGCCGTATAATATTAAATAGTTAAAAGTTGATACAGCAATGTCATATTTATAAATTACAAGATAATAGCTATTAATTAGAAAGTTTATTAATAGTAATTAGCGTAATATTCTGCAGCTTGAAAAAGGAAAGTAGAAAATGTATTATAAAGACTAAATGTTATGTTAGCAGTTAATTTGCAGAATTTTAACAATGACAATTGATTCTCAATTAGGTAGTTCATGTTAACATAGCATATTTTCAAATATTATAAAATGAATTGAGGGTAAGATTCTTAAGGTAGATTTTTGTCGTAAAGGGATAATTTTGAAGTAAGTTGCTTAATGCAGTAGGTTGAATACAGTGACTGGTCACTTTTCATCCACTATTCAGTTCACAAGTAAGACAAAAATCATGTAGTCTCACAATGATAAACCATGTGGCATTTTAGAAAAATGAGAGAAACAAAAAATAACTAGTTAACAAAGTCAAACCAGAGGCAAGAATTGGAAAATTGTAATACTGATTTAAAATGATGTGTAAACAAAATTAGAGAGCTGGCAGAGTGGATGTTGACAGCTCAATGTTAAAGACACTTAGATATGGAGCCAAGAATGTAGATGTGTGGAAAGGGGGTGAGGCTATGGAGAGGACGTGAACTGAAAAGGAACTGCACATTAAAAGAACTCATAGAGATAGTTTACATAATGGATTAAAAGCTGAGGCGGCTCCAAGCTTATCCAAGAAAATGATAATCCATCAAGGAGGAAAAAGATATTTGCTCCATATCCTGAGACACATAATGGTAGGAAGGTACACATTGTCCGGGCTATTTTTGATTTTTTTTTTTTTACGAAGAAATAAAACACATTGATTTTCAATATTTTGTTATTTTAAATTATGCTGTACTAAACATAGCCATTACCTTTCCTCTAATCTCCTATGTGTTTATAGGAAAGATAGAAAAAAAAGTTTTTGATGTTTTGATAAAACATTTTAAAAGTCTTGAGACAGTATTTTATTTTCTAATTGAATATTGACAACATTTTCTATATTTGAGATTGTCTGGCCACCACAGTATTGAACAAAGAAGAAGCAGTCTGTAAATGTGAATAAACTTTATAACTGTGCAGCATTTTGACATGTTATAAAATGGGTATGTGAGGGCTATTCAAAAATTTACAGAAAATGGAAATCTGGACATATAATAAATGAATTTTAATTTTTCACTGAACCCCTATATTTTATTTTCAGTTTTCAATTACCTTTTTCTATTACTTCCTGTTTAAGAGTATTGGTTAGTCATTTTCAATTTTTACAAAATCCTAAATTTTGAAAAAATTCTAAATCAACAGCAGACCTGGATAATTCAGTTAGTTAACTGAATCTTTGGAACATTATCAAACTATTAGAAGTAAAATTCTGGCTTTAAACCTATCCAAAGCTTTCAAACCTCACCATCCATTATATTTCTTTTGTTTTTGTTTCTTTAGGATTTACTTATTTTCATTGTATTTTCATTGGAAAAGCATATTTACAGAGAGAAGGAAAGGTGGAGAAAAAGATCTTTCTCAGCTGATTCACTCCCCAAGTGGCCCTAATGGTCAGAGCTGAGCTGATGCAAATCCAGGAGCCAGGAGCTTCTTCTGGGTCTCACATGAGGGTATAGGATCCCAAGGCTTTGGGCTGTCCTCTACTGCATAGCCATAAGCAGGGAGCTGGGTGGGAAGTGGAGTATCCACACCAACCAGCACTCATATGAGATCCCGGCTCTTGCAAGGAGAGAATTTAGCCAGTGAGCCATAGCGCCCTGCCAATATTTTGTAAGTATAATGAAAACAGAGAAATCTATTTTATGCTTTTTTGGGAATTGCTGCTTTTATTTTTAACTAAAAGATGTTGTTGTAGCACCTAAGTAAAACACACCCATAAGTGAAATACAAAAGTAGGTAAAGACAAAGCCTTTAAGAAATCAGGATAGAAAAATCACCTACCGATTGTAGAAATCATCTCTGTAGTAATCATAGTCAAAGACATATCCACTAAGGAGAAAAACAAAATAATTAGTTGGCATTTATATTAACCTTATCAATTTTACTATTAATTTATGATATTATAGCAGGAAAAATTACTCTATTATCTGAATACTTGTTTCTTGTGTAATTATGTATCTGAAAAACTCTACAAAATAATACATAATTTAATATAATGTCCTGTCAATTATTACTTCATGCTTGACAATGCAGAGACAGATTTGTGAAAGCAGATAATAAAATAGTTTCACAACAATAACTAAATACCAATGAAGTCTATTTTCTTTACCTAGATAAAATATTACATATAGTTGACGCATCTTCCTAAGATATGGTCATCTCTTCTTACTAATGTATGTACAATGAGGCTAAACAATGAAACTTCAACATTAAATAAGTGGGAATATTTAATGACCCACCTATTAGAGAAATGGTAAATAACGATGTAATTTCTTCCAGTTTTTAACAATCTAAAAGCTGTAAATTCAATATTTTAAATAACCGAACACCAATAACCAAAAATCAGCAGTACCAGGATTAGTCATATTCACAATAATATTTTAGAGAATTTAAATAGGAATTAATAAATGCATTTCACTAGGAAGATTTTCATGACTAAGCTTTATAAAGAAATATATGACACAAGTTGTTATAGCGTACCTGCATAGTGTTTTTTGCTTTTTAAATGTTCTATATGCATGTTAATTCTAGACATCAAAAAAATTCTTTTTTTTAGCCAATGTTACTGAAAAAAAATAAGGTGCAAAAGATCCAAAGTTATTTTTTCATATTGGAATTACTAGTCAGTGACAGAGCAAATATTATAACAGCAATCTGAAACCGTATCTGTCACTGTTTTCTAAAGGCCTTTGCAAGCCTCAAACCTGAAAAAAATTTCAATCCTCTGCTAAACAGCATACCTCAAGTGGTGTTTTGCTCATGGTTCTGCATTTTTATTGTAGAAAAATATACATGGAGCGATATTTACAATGGTAACCATTGTTAAGGATATTCTTCAGTTGCATAACAGCATTTAAATGGTGTGAAAGTATCATTATTATAGAGTTCATGAACTTGTTCAGCATGTCAAATGGAAACTCTCATTGCACAATAACTGCACATTCCCCATCCACAAGCTGCTGCGGCACTTGTTCTACTTTCTGTTTCTGTGAACTCACCTATTCTAGGTAACCCACAAGTCATATAATTATTATCATTACAAATCATACAATCAAATTTTGTCATAACTTGTCAGGATAATTTGCTTAACACAGTCATTTTGAGGTTAATCTATGTTGTGGCACAAATCAGAATTTTATTTCTTTTAAAAGCAGAGAAGCAATGGCTAAAACATTTGCAGTTTTGCGATCCACAGGGCAGATGTGGATTGAGTTGACTGAGTGACAGGCTCCTGGTTTCAGTTTGATCCTGCCCACCCATTGCTGGCATTTGGAAAGTGAACTTACAGAAATGTGTCCCTTATGGACCTCATCCCTTTGACACAGAACCATCAAGAAAAATATCTCTTGTTAACCCAGCTCAGCCTGTCTCTTCCTTTTCTTACCCTTCCCATTTCTAAGAATTACAATTCTATTATCTACTTCTATGAGATATACTTTTACAACTGCTAAATATGTCAAGAAAGAAAAGTTCTAGAATTTTATGTTACAGTAGGGCATGATAGTTGATAAGCTTGAATGTTTTCATCAAGACGAAATGAGAAATTATGTGATAGAAATGCTTGCTATTCTGATTTGGTCATCACACCTTATATACATGTACATACATGTATTCAATATCACAAAGCACCCCAGAAATATGTATGACTGTTATTTATCAATTAAAACAAGAAGTATATCAGTCACTGTGTTGCAGCCTAACTTAGACAAGCACCAATTGATACCCTAACCTCACTGACCAACTTCCCCCATTTCTATGACCTAATTCCAACCACTAAAATGTTTCTCATGTTCTGTTTCAGTGGGAATATTGTGTTTTTACTTCTATCCTCCATGAAATAGACTGAAATAAAGTCTTCATTGCCTGTTTACTTTTCCTAGTGTAATTTTAGTCAGTGGTACATGTGGAAACTGAGGTAATAAGTAAGCACATTACTTAAAACAATAAGTAAATGGAAAAAAGAGTGGATCAAAAAAGGATTGAATGAAAGTATTAAGAGTTTAGTGAGGGCTGAATTCCTCTGAGAAGGTAACAACCGGAGGCTTGAAGAACAAGATCTTAGAATGACCCAGAGAAGAAAGGGTCAGAGAACAGGAGGTGCAAGAGCAGGAATTAGGGAACACTTTGATACCCTAATCAGCAAAAAAGCTACTGCCATCACTCAGAGAAGACGTGACAGTATCCCAGAGTACACACCACGGCAGATAAGATGGAGTGATGCAGATGGATACAAGCCTCAAGAAAACTTAAAGCTGTTTTGGCTTGAGAAACTTGAAAATTATGTAACCCTTTGTTGAGCTAGGAAAGCTTGAGCAGAAGAGATTTCAGGAAAAAAAAATGTATGATTAATTTCGGATATGTTAGCATTTAGGTGTTCATGATCAGTCAATGAATCCCTTTCAAGAGTAATGGATACTGGGTAACTGAGGGAAACCCCAAGGAGTAGATTTAGCTGGTGAAATACACATGGAAGTTATGAAAACACCGAGGGTAATAATGCTGTTAAAAAGTTTGAGGTTTATGGGGCCAGGGGCGATGGCCTAGTGGCTGGAGCATTGCCTTGTATGCACTGGCTTCTCATGTGGGTGCTGGTTGTGCCCCAGCTGCACCACTTCCTACGTAGCTCCCTGCTTGTGGCCTGCGAGAGCAGTAGAAGATGTCCCAGGGCGCTGGAACCCTGCACCTTTGTGGGAGACCTGGGGAATGCTCCTGGTTTATAAATTTGTTCAGTTTGGGACAGTTTGGTCACTTGGGAAGAGAACTAGTAGATGAAAGATCTTTCTGTCTCCTCTCTGAGGATCTGACTTTCCAATGAAAATAAAATGTCTTTTTTTTTTTTTAAATTAGATTTTTCTTTAGGAGTAAATGCACGACAGAGAAATTGGAGGCTGATCTCATGGATTCTTGAACTTGAAGGTCCAGGGAAAACACAGAGACAGATGTTAGGACAGATGTATACAGGGACATTCAGAATCAACTAGCTCTAAGTATATTCCCCAGCTGGCAGCTCACCTGATATGACATTAAAGCATCTGATTAAACCTTCTGAACCTCATTTACAAATGGGGACCACGTGCTGACCCACCTGCTAAAGCACAGGATTTAGCAACTTGAACACATTCAATAGATGCTTCCAGAGTGGGGGTTTAGATTGAGGTTTCTCTGACTATAGAGTCTTCATTTTTTTCCTTCTGTGTCATGTTTCTCCAGCAATTTGTTGATTTAAGTAAGGTTAATAACCTCATTGATTTAGGGTATATAATTTTTATGAGTTATTAAAAAGAGTAGCTTTAAGATTTGTGACCAAGATGATGACAAGAGTTAATTATAGTACCTCTCTTGTCTCTTTGTAAAGTCCCTGGGTCCCAAAACACTTTAGGTCTTCATTTCCCAGTTTTGCTTTCCTGATTATACCTAGCAACCAGAAGTTTAATAACACCAGTCACCACAGTAATAATAATAAATTGTGTTGGGAAGTTATTATTACACTGGATACTCAAGGGTACCTCAAATAATTCATGGGAAATGGAACTTAAAAAATAAATTTATTTTGGTGCAAAACAAGCTTGAAATAAAAAGAACAGCTTTTCATAATATGTATTTCCATGAACCTTTTGAAGTTATTTCATATTTAGCAGGTACATGATGCAGAGCCAGTTGTATTAGACGCTTTGAATGGCTATAAATAAATGAGACAAGATTTTGCTATAATGAAGTTTTCCAGCATTTTTAGATGTCACTTAGATTTTTCTGCTCTTTTTTTTATATTGTGGCTTACGGTATAGCTTAATTGTACAAGGAAATAAGGCACACTGACCAACTAAAGATGTTATTAATATGGATGACAGCATTGAGTTCCATTGGGAACTTCTGCAATAAGCGGCAACCTTTGGGAAATGTGAAAGTGAGGAAAAAAAAGTGTTTTTTTCAGTTGTTCCTTAAATTGTTATCCTATTCAATCTGCTTTTAAAATTATTTTTTTCGTTTAATACTGTCTGCTCTGATGTATATACAAGAACTTGTTAAAGGCAATTATCCTAAATTATTTGATCTTTGTGTCCTATTGCTTGTCATCATGAGCTCAATTTTGCCTGTCAAGGTTGAAGGTGAAATGCACAAACAGACTTAGTAGTCAAGTCAGACTGCTTAAAGCAGAACTATCATGGCGGTAGCTGGGTCAGGTCATAAGCTGCAAAACTCAAGCTACATTTTGAAGAAAGACAAAAATATTCAAGCAAAGGTCACTCTGGGGCCAGTATGATTCAAGTCAGCTAGCTTTCCTGATGCCCTTGGCACTCATCTACCTGTTCCATCCTTTTTATTATTATTTTTTTATACTGGTACCGCCTTTTAGGTATAGGTTTAGACATTTAGGTATAAATTTCTGTTTCATTATGGGCATCTTTCTTTCTTTGGGAGTAAAGATGCATACTGTAATGTAACTTTGCCATCCAATACGCTGGTCTTCATTACACTGTTCTGCTATGAGAGTGTATATGTACTTGGCAACTTACATTTCTTTATTTTGTAGTTTGCCTAAGAACTGTTTTATATCAGAGAAAACACCTGAAATGCAAATAAAGATATTCCCTCCTTTCAATGCTTTCCCCTTTTCAGATCTGGAAAAAAGTCCCTTTTTTTTCTTTCTGTATAAATCACTATTTAAAGTTAGTTGTACAGAATGACATTGCTAGGTATCATATTGAGGTGTATTATGTAGTCCATGTATCCTACTACAGTTAAAAAAATGCCAGTGCTTTTGTTTTTCCTGTTTGGTGCCTTTGGGAGGCAGTACATTTTCCAGGAAAATAAAATCATTATTTTAAATA